ATGTCCCTAGGTCAAATTAACCATGTTAGAAATTCGTTAGGTCGCCTATTTATATTTTTTTATCTCTTATATATTTTTCTCGACTTATATTTTTTATCTCTTTCTATCACTCTTTCCAGAGCTTTGCTCCTTTCAACCACCGTAACGGTACCACTCCTCGCTTGAGGTTTTAATCAAAACCATTTCTGGTATCTATCAAAAGTTTCCATGCGTGGCGAATAAAATGTACTGTTTCCGAAATCACTGATTCACTGTTTTCGAAATCTTATTTTCTGACGTTCTTTTTCCGAAAATAGCTTATTATCTGATCTTTTAAGCGTTATACCCGTTTATTCGCCAGGTCCCGATGTGCTATGTGCTTAAAAACTGTATCAAAACTCTGTGCAAAACTCTACATAAACTTTTAAACTTATTATTGGAAACCTTGATTTTCCCCCTTAAGTGGAAGGAATCTTTCATAATTCCTTTTGACCAAAATGAGAAAAAGTCCTATGCTGCCAACTACAGATTAATCTCTAAAATGACGGTAATTCTAAATATATATGAAAAATAAATCACTCCTCATTTGCAACCCCTATGATCTTCGATGGCTTCATTAAATGTCGCTCTTGTCATCGGTGGCTTCCGAAAGGGATTTTAAACTAAAGTATTTACGCAGAATTCAATCAAGCATTCGATTCAGTCAATTTTTCACTCCTCTTTAGTAAGCTGAATCTTCGGGGTTTTCACATACACCACCTCAATGGAAAAACACTAAGAGTCTTATTTTAAAATTTACATTCCCACTTGGTTCGTGCTACATCTGGGGTCCCTCAAGGAAGTCATCTTGGCCCGTTACTGTTTACTCTTTTTATAAACGAATTGCCTCCTGCTTTAACGAACTTTCTGGTTCTCATGTATGCTGGTGATGTTAAGCTTTGTCTTCAATACAAATCCGTTTCTGATCAATACAATCTTCACTCCGAAAATAAGCTTTTCAAAACTGGTTTTTAGCGAATGATTTAATACTTGATGAATACAAATGCAAACTTATGTCTTTTCATCGTTCTTGCCCATCTCCAGTCAACGTATTTTCCCTATGGGATTGCCTTAGAAAAATTAACTCACGCTAATGATCTCGGTGTCCTATTCGACTCAAAACTCAAATTTGCCGAACATATGGAAGGGCGTCGCTGCTAATTGTCGCTGTTGTGGAAGAAAGAAAAGCGTGCTGCATTCCGCCTACGTCAGCCACAACCAAGTGCACCGAGACAATAGCCTCTTCTCTATCCACTGCTAACGTTGTCCAAGGTCGCAGGGGTTGACTAGTTAGCTGCATCTCCGGAGGTGAAAATCGTTCATGGCGGGTCTGGTATTGGCGATGCCAGCTTTGCGACAGACGGATTTTCTAATGATGACGGACCTCATCAACTCATCCCCAGCAACTAGTTTATGTTGCACTCTTTCGTGTAATTAGCATCGAAGGTTTGTTCGCTGTTACACCTTATGATGACCCAACACAATTCAAATTTCATCATAATCATAGACAAGCAACATCAACTTCTTCGTTATTGGCAGAATTAAAGTTATCAAAAGTTATCATCGATGTCATTAGCAACAAAAATTGTGTCTCGTTGTTGTATTTCAATGTACAAAGTTTTAAAAAACATTACACCGATTTAGACGACGCAGTTTGTCTGAAGAGCAACATTTTTTTGCTCATCGAAATGTGGTTGGCTAATAGTCAGCAATGTAATATACGTTTAAATACTTCAATTCAAACGTGATACTGTGCGTGCAGGGAGTGTAGCAAAATATCAGAACATGAGCGATATAACTAGAATTGTAACGCCGAACATGAAGATGATTTCCAAAAACATTCAGGACTTTTCTGTTCGACATACAAGCGTTGCGGACCTTTGTGCGGCTCAGTGTGTAATGGAAAACGGTATTACTGGGATCATGGCAGTCATCTACGTTTCATCGAATTCACCGAATATTTAAGAGTTCATTCACCTAGTACTGTTAGAATATACTGAAGAAGGTTCTTGACTTCTTCGGAGATAAAATACAAATTTGTATAAAATTTCCATAATTTTGGCCGGTGATTTTAACTTTTCTGATACAAAATCAGAGCCACTGACACAATTTCTCCTTGAAGAATTTGATTTGAAAATTAAAAACGCTCCAACATTGTCTACAACAAGATTCAATACGACTATTAATGCAGTTTTTTCGAGATACTTGGACAAAATGTCTAAAATTTTTGTATCTTACTTTAGTTACCAAAACCCAATAGTCAATATGATTGAATGAACTGATTAGGTTTATATACCTAGAATAAATAAGTAAATATCATTTTTGTACAAATGTTGTAATTTATTATTGTAAATAATTTTTCGCCTTCATTTACTCCTGTGTTGCCTGCATTGACCTCCATTTCGTCATGCCTGCTAAACGTATACATGCCAAAGGAACTTCGTTCCTCAAGCGTGTCCCTAGACCAGTGGTCGGCACCCCAATACATTGACCAAATACATTGACCAAAAAGTAGGCTGTGAGCATGACGTTTCACACATTTATACTGTGTGTGTGTGGCAGAGCTCGAACAGAGAAATTTCCTATGCCCTCGGGTTAGGGCCGTGCCGACCACTGCCCTAGACACACACACTGTTTTTAACTTCTTTTTTTAGTTCAATTTACTTTTTGGCCTCCTCCTTGTGCCCTCCTTTATTGTCCGGCTCCTTTTATAGTATTGGTCAAGCACGTTCCGGGGTAGATTCCATCAATTTGTAGAAAGATTTCTATCAAATTTAGATAAAAATAGTCTGAAACGATTCAGAAAAAAAAGACCTCGTAAGCATCATTACTAAAAAAAAAAAAGCAAGGTTGGATATTTAACTTCTATAACAGGGGTGGGCAAGCCCATGGCTCCTCGGGCTCTCAAGGCTCCCCCCGGTATTCGTAATTTTTGGCGCCAGCAAATCGGCCCACACGATCGAGTCGCGCGGTCAGTGAGCCGTGAAGATTTGCTACACAATGCTACACAAATTCCGAGGCAGGTAGCGGGCCCGACCCCGCGGTCCCGAGTTTGCAACAACAATTATTAAGGGTCCGTTTGCGCACAACGCGACGACAACCATCGCGAGGGTGGTGGTTGTTGTTGTAATTTGTTGTTTGGCCGAGCTGCGTCTCCGACCGTTAGATTTTGTGCCCACCACTGTTCTATATTGTGCAATTTGTGTTGGACAGCGTCAAAATATGTGATGCTGACAAGTCGCAGTATTGGTCAAGACTGTTGAGAAATGTTCAATGGGGAATTCCGTAAAATCTTGGGTAGCTAAGTCATTTGGGAGCTTATTTGTGCACAGAGGGCATTTGGTAGAAAGAAGAAGTCAGGATGAACCGGGCGGGTTGCAACCGGTGTGATTGAAAGGAAAGCAGGGATCAAGGAGACACAAAAGAAAAAAAAAGGGAAAGAAGGGAAGAAAGGGAACAGTTCCCAATAATTTTCTACGGAGGTCTAGCTACATTTCGAAGAAAGAGGACTTGGATCTCGTCAACCAACTGGAGCCACCCGAAGCGAAAATTTCTGCAAAAAAGGAAATTGGTCAACCTTCCCGGGTGGCCCACAGGTTTTTTTTGAAGTTAAAAATTTGAAAAGTACCTGAAACCCTGTCCGTATCTTAGCGTAGATTATATACTTATTTATTTAAATTATTTATTTGTTATTATTTTTTTTTTTTTGTAATTAATCAATTATCTGTATTCGTCCCAAGGTGCCTTGGTTAGGTGTTAGGTTAATCCATGTTTAATATTTAAGATTGATATCAACCGAAAAGAAAAGATAAGGAAAGAAAGATACAAAAAATGTTAAATTAAATCATTAATCAAAATGAAGTGTGAGTGAGAGTAATCAAAAGGGGGGGAAGTGAAAATGTGGGATTCAAAATGTAATAGTGCAGATCGTTAAAGGGGATGATCCCAAGGATCCAGAATCTGGGCCAAGGTAGGGGAGCCTTCGTGGTGCCCAATATCGTAGTGTTCTATGGTCCGCTGTTTATTTTTTTTTTGTGTTTCGATAAATCCTGTAACGTTGTCATTTTTACTTTTGCTTGTTTGGAATTTATTTTTTTTTGTTGAATTAGTGTACTATTATTATTTATTCACCGTATTCGTTTTTTTTTTGTGAGGCTGTCTTTTGGGTTTTTCCGGGTGTTCCCATCCCTGTAGGTGTTAACGCGTGCTAGCCGGCGAAGTGAAAAATCCGAACAAGAAAAGAAACAGGCAGACCCTTACAAATTTTTAAAACATCTCCGACCCTATAAAGTATACATATTCTTGACCAGGATCACCTCTTGAGTTGATATAAGCATGTCCGTCTGTCTGTCTGTCTGTTTCTACGCAAACTAGTCTCTCAGTTTTAAAGCTATCGACTTGCACCCACCCTTCTTTCCTTTGCACGCAGTGCAATGGCAAAATAATACGACCTACCAATTTTCATAACGATTGGCCGACTATATCTTATAGCTGCCAATTAACTGAACGATCGGAAATAGTATTTGGTAGAAATACCAACTTTGGTACTTTTAACAATAGAAGCTTCTGATTTTTTTCTAGATTTTTTATTGTTATTATTTGGATTTATTATGATATTCTCATAAGGATCGGCCAACTATATCCGAAGTTTGCGATATATATCCGGTTTTCACTACAAGGGTATATCAACTTCGGCTCCGCCCGAGTTTGCTCAGCCCTATGAGCTGAGCTTGGGCATCCCTGTACTAGCATATAAAATAGTGACATAGTATATAAAATAGCTTCTAATGTTATGAATGCATACATATATTTTCATATGTTTTTCGATGCCAATTTTACTCTAGCAATGCGTAAAAATACTTGTGAGGTATCTGGCAATTTCATTTTTATATTTAATGCCGGGCCGGGATATTTAGCTCACTAGCGCGATATATCGATACGTAACAAAATCACATAAGTCGATAGAATAGTGAAAAAAGGAATCATTGATGCATCAATGTTAGTATCGATATTATTAGTTTTCACAGCTCTAATAAATAAAAGTAGTACTTAATATTATTAACAATAATCGGACTCATAAAAAGTGAGGCCATTTTCCGGTTTGACTGGTAAATACTTTATGTAGTCGATAATGTAGAAGTCTTTTAAGAATTTCCTTTAGTGGCTGTTACATTAATGTATTTATATTTCAGGTGAATATTTACATACATATGTATGTAGATATGTATTTATATATATGAATGCTAAGGCGTTAAAAAGGAAATTTTAAATGCTTTTTATTCACGTGAGAATAGCAAAAAAGGTAGCTGTTCTCCATTTCATGTTTCTTCGTACTGAATTTTTGGACGAGAATATACATACATACATAAGTACAACTTGTGAATGGTTGTACATAAATATGTATATGTTATGTATGTACATACGTATTACGTATGTCTCCTAAAACCTGAAGTTTGAGATTATTGTATTTTCATACTACAGTTTTAATGGTCGCCGTTGAGCTATTATACAAACATACGTACATATGTATGTATATTGACAAGAGGTCCAAAACATAAATACCTCTCTCTCCTACATTGTACATACATATGTATGCTGAAACTAACTTTGGGCGTAGCCAAATTTGATGTACCCTCACAGGATCGTATTTACATATGTATTTATGTACATATTAGAACATAGTACCAGTTCCGGTGTAAAAAAAAAACTTTATAAAAGTTGCACTTATAAGCACAACATTCCCTTCTTAGTCCTAATTCCGACTCTGCCAGGCCATGAATCTTTTCCAAGCTATTGACTTACAACTTTTACGAATATGAATCAGAAGTCATTTCCGATCTTAGTTACCGAATTGGTATTGCTTCGATCGGCAAAGTTTGGATAGAAACCGAGATATCCAAAAGAGACAGCCTCGGTGACGTGATCGATTTGGATGTTTATTCTATCATTGTTTTTGAAGTTGGCGATCAGATAAGGGAAATTTGTTTATATCTAAATAAAGCTTTCGAGGGTGGGAATGCTTACGTTTTAAGAGTTCGAGAGAACTCGGCGCAAAAAAGCCGCTATATATTGTTTATAGTATTATAAAATTTTAGTTAATTTTTCCACTCCTAAAATTAATCGCCCCGATTAATTACATTTATGCGGCGAGAGATATTTTATTAAGTACGCTAAATTTTATTGATATATTTCTTTCGGTTTTTAGGAATTTCTACTTCTCTTTGAGTTTTAGTACATTTAAGTTGAATTAGTTTAAGGGGACGTTCTTGTGGATTTTTTTGAAAAAATCGATTATTTTTTGTTTTTAATAAAATGAAAGTTACATATGTATAGAATATACGTGCCAAGGGATATTTTGATACGACGCGTATATCTTGAGCTAGAGCGTGTCAAACATACCCATGATAACAAGAAAGCTATCTCAAGGCAAATTTTCAAAAAACTTTAAAGGCGTTTTTCTCGGAACCATGTTTTTAAACCTCTTGTCGCGCACAGGGCTCGTTCTATTGATCCGATTTCTTTCATTAAAAAAAAAATGTTTAAAAGTTCATGTTTCATGTTTTAAAGTACACAGTACTTTAGTACAAAAGTACTTTTTTGTATGCCTTATACCTAAAATAGGCATAAAAAATTAAAAAAAAAACTAAAAGTAAAAAAAAAAGAAAAAATATCAATTTTTTTTTAAACGTCCATGAAACTGGTTTATTTTAACCAAAATTAATTGTCGTTAGGTATAAGGCATAGGAAATTTCATCAATTTTATTAAATTATATACATTTCTAATTTCCGTTAACTACCAGCGGCCCGACACTAGACAAAGCAGAAAAATAGAGGTCGACTAGATCCGCCATTTTGAAGCCGCCATTTTGAAGTCGCCATTTTGAATTTCCTGAATATTGAATATTTTTTTTAATCGTTAATAAACAACGAATCAAAAGTTTAAAAGCATAAGTTCGTATGTCTTTTCATTTTCACGCAATCCATTCTCAAAGTTTGCTTAATATTCGGAAAAATCCAAAAGAACCTCCCCTTAATTATTTTGGGTATGAACTTTCGTGATTTATATATACAGTGGCGAGCAAAGTTGAGCGAATGTTCACGACTCAGACTTTCGTAACCCATAAAATCATAATCACAACAAAATCCAAAATTTTTTTTTGTTTTCTATTAATTCTATTTATTATTTAATTCTTAATAAATTCTAAGCAAAAAAAAAATGATGATACAGATGAATTCGAGGAGACGTAAATTAAAAACGAAAAAACCCGCATAAACTCAATTTCGGACGTTTCCAAATTTCTTTGTCCAAAGAAATTTATTTGAGATGACTTCCTGTACGCGGTCAGGCATGCTTTCCACCAAAACTTTAATTATATCTTTAGGAATACGTATCCATTCAGCTACAACACGGTACCAAAGGTTCTCCATGTTTGATGGAGCTGTGTCGTAGTTCCAGAGCCGTCTTTTAATGATTGACCAAAGATTTTCGATCGGATTGAGGTCGAGACTTTGTGCTGGCCATGCCATTAATTTAAAAGGTTGCCTCCCAATCCAATCCTTCCTTAATTTTCGAAGCGTGCTTCGGATCCCCATCTTGTTGAAAAAACATTTATTTTTCGGGAGGGTATTTTTGCAGAGGGTATTATAATTTTGGCCAAAAGTGTGCAACGCAGTGAAGGTGACATCTCCGACCCAATAAAGTATATATATTCTTGATCAGGATAAAACGACATGCCAAATTTCATAAGGATCGGCCGACTTTATCCTATAGCTGCCATATATCTGAAAAACTTTCGTGTTTTTGAAGATAGAAAGCTGGAACTTAGTACAGATTCTATTTTCGGTCAGTTAATCCAACCTACAACATTTCATAAGGATCGGCCGACTATATGTTAAATTACTGAACGATCGGAAATTGCCTCGGATATACTGGTATTTGGTAACATTACCAACTTTGGTATTTTTGAATTAATTGGTTTTATTATGATATTCTCTCCAACTATATCCAATGTTTTCGATATATATCCGGTTTTAACTGCAAGGGTATATTAACTTCGGCTACGCCCGAAGTTGGCTTTCCTTTCTTGTTTTTTATTATTATTTATATAAAAGGTATGTTATCTTAGGAATACATTAACTTATATATCTTCGAAAAATCGCATATTTGTATACCTGTATTTGTATACCTAAATAAATAAGTCTTACTCCAATGAGTTCCTTTTGGAAACTCTTTTTAATTGGTAAAGTTCTTTAATAAGTAAGATACATGAAAATATTAAATCTGCTTAAAACTACTTATCAACGCACTGCACTCTGACCTGCTATGCGACCCTTCCTCAAGTGCGACATATTTTTGTAGGCTGCAGGGGATCGGTTTTAGACCATGCTGCTTATCTCGTATTTCATGGGTCCGATCCCTTGAAACTCTAACTTAGGAATTTGTATATACAATAGTGTTCAATGCTTGAACAGTACCCTTGCAGAGGGTATTATAATTTTGTCCAAAAGTGTTCAACGCCGTGAAGGAGACATCTCCGACCCTATATAGTATATATATTCTTGATCAGGAACACCTTCTGAGTTAATATGAGCATGGCCGTCTGTCTGTTTCTACGCAAATTAGTCTCTCAGTTTTAAAGCTATCAACTTGCACCCACCCTTCTTTTGCACACAGTATATAAGTCGGAACGACCGGGATCGGCTGACTATATCCTATAGCTGCCATATAACTGATTGCTCGGAAATGGAATAACTTTACCATATAACTGAACGATCGGAAATGGTATTTGGTAGAAAACTTTGATATTTTTGAAGATAGAAGCTTGGGACTTTTTTTTTTTAGATATTTGATTGTAATTAATTGGTTTTATTATTGTTACGACAGATAGTATAACTGCTATAACTGTATAGTATAACTGATAGTATAACTAGTATAACTGCGCGGCATCCGGCGGGGCCGAAGTTGCAGAACCGATAGTATAAGCGAGTGTTGAATCTCTTTTCTTTTCCATTTGACACTCGAGGGAAGCGGACTGTTTGGTCATTGAGCGTTTTCAGTGCCATTAAAATAAAACGAAGAATTTAATTTTTAACGTTAAAAAAATGTTTATTCCTGCATGCAGATGAAGCCGGATGATCCGCAGATAGACCAGCTTATGGTGCATGCAGGGACTCAAGTAATATACACAGAAAGGGCGGACCGACAAGTCACCTCGAGCTAAAGCTCTCGAAAGTGGAGAGGGCGGCCCGACCTAGACATTGCCGAGCTAAAACTCTATAAAAAACCCGTTGAGTCGAGCGGCCGAGAGAGAGTCGGCTTGCGATCAACAAAGCTTTTGTACAAACTTAAGCCTAATAAATAAACATTACATTAATCATTACACTAAACATTTCATAAAAATTATTTAAACATAAACATTAAACGCCGTGCTGCTGCTTGATCCGACACGGACAAAAAATGAGAACATCGAATTAAGATTTGATTATAAATTGTACAACTATTACTTTACTAGGAATTTGGAGTGTAAGAGTGGTTACCGACTGTACCACTGTTGACAAATAAACAATAAAATCTCAGAAAAATAACAGAAAACAAATAAACAATTATCAGCATCTACACGGGCTTCTTTACCGGGGCGGCGCTACAAACTTCACATACCCGCAACATTTCTTTAAATTCTTTTCTTGGTTTATTCTTGAAGAATAATTGAATCAGAGTGCGAAATCAACATTGAGATGCTATTGGATCCGGTGGAGAGGCAAGATTGGTGGCGACATGCTTCCTCTGTGAAGTGGAGGACGAGCACGTTACAGTTGGCTGCACAGAACTCCACGTTGATCAGGAGAGAAAAGCTGACCAGCCTGACGGCTGGGGACAATTACCTGAGTTACTCAGGTGGCGATCAGAAGATGATCGAAACTAACGACGTCAACAAGGCCTCGAAGGAAGCGCAGGAACTGCAGACGGAGCTAAGGTTGTTGGAGGAAGAAGATAAGTTGCTGCAGTTGCGACAACAACTTCAACATAGGCGAAAGGCGCCCATAGGCAAGCTCCCAATGGAGAGGCTTTCGGCGTCTGGCCACGCAGAGAAGATGCCTGGAGCATCTA